GTTCTGGTGCCTATTATTCATAAATAGATACCGAAGTCAAATAAACCTCTGTTACAGTAACAGTATTTTAAAAGTACCAAAACAAACCAAAAAAACAAAAACCCTCAAAACAAAAACAGATCAATCTATTACTCAAGTAGTAGAACAAAAGACATACAACATGTTCCTTCCAGCTCCACCTTGGAGTTGAGCTACTAAGAATGTTGACTTCTTTTCAACTACCAGTGAAGAATCTGCCTCAGACTTCTCTGGGAGTGGGAGGAGCTGCCGGACTTGACTCTGGATCAAGCCCTGGCATGGCAGTAGCGCCAGGCCTGCCTGCAGCTCTAGCTCAGATGCTCTTTCTCATGTCTCAAAGCTTCTTTATGCTTCATCCTGCCATGGAACTCAGGATCTCCAAGGACTGACAGAAGGAACAGTACTTTAGGGGACCCCAGTTCAAGGTAGGTGCTTTATTTAAAAAAAAAAAAGATTTATTTATACAAGCACTGGGTACAGTCAGAAGCACGGGAGGGTGAGAGAATTCACCAGAGCCAGAGCAGGGAGCAGAACAGACAGACTGATGAAATACACTGCTGAGGGGTGCAGCGGGCGCAGCAGGAGAGGTCTGCGCGCCATGTGGGACCCTCGCCGGTGGCCGGGGATTGAACTGGTGCTGCAGAGGCTGCGGGCAGCTTCGCAGCCCAGCGCTCAACCACTGTGTCACCAGGGGAGGCCCTGCTTCTTTTTTTTTTTTTTAAGGGACTTTGCCTTTCTGACAACCTCATGTACTGAGCTGAGATCACCCTTCTTAGACTAAAGGTCTGAAATTGCTGGCCACGTGCAGTAGAAGTGAGGAGATACTCAAGCCTCACAGCTCTGCCTGGAACCCTCTAGGTCTGAGAGCAATCAGCGGCTGGTCTCTTTGTAACACCTGCAATTCTGGCCTGTTGCTTTTCCGTGTCCCCATTCCTGGGTGTCCTCATATAGGCTCTTGTCACTGGATTAAATGCTTCCTGGAAAATGCCACATTTCTGGAAACTCCTGAGTAGTATCCCTACTCCAAACCTTTCAGAAAATGGTCCCCTACCCTAAGAGAGATGGGAAACTGACTGCATAAAGCAGGGGGCCCAGGGTAGGTGGTGGACTCTATGAGAAATTAAACATGTTCATTTTTCCCTTTTTCTTCCCAGCCAGATTTAAATTCTCATGTAACTTCTGTTCTAGTAGATTTACTTTTCATAAGGAAGGGGCTGAGTCAGGTAATTTCCGTGAATCTCTGATCTTTTCAGGTTATCCTAAATCACACATGCAGATAATTTTATTGGCACTAAACATTCACTTTTTCTTTCCCCTTATTCACACCTCACATTTTGGTGTTATTTTGCAGCATGTATTCCAATCAAGTAGTTTGGCGCTGAGTCCTTACTGCCTGGCATGTACTTCGCAGTAATGGGTGGGAGGGAAGTGGATCGAGGGACACAAGGTTGGCTGCAGGCTTGGAGGAGGAAGAGCGTGGGCTTTAGATGGACTCAGAATCAAAGGTCTAATTCCATTCCTGTCACTTACCAGCCACGTGAACTGCTCTGAGCTTTCTCGAGCTGGTATCTAGAGCTGACATGCCTTTTGGTGGGGCGTAACTCTTTGTTGTGCCCTTATTCAGGAATGAGTGGACCCCTTAGTTCTCAGTCTCCCCAAATGAGTCCTGACAAGGCCTGGGGCTCCCTTCCTACTTGACCTGAGGTCTATGTCCTCATACTAGTACCCACAGGTGGAAGTAAGGGTGGCCTTAACTGGCCATGCCTGCTCGTGGTCTCACAAGAGTGATAGCTGTGGCAGCCAGGCTGAGGCCCTGTAATTATGATCCCACTCAGATCCTAACTCAGCATTCTCCATCTTAGGAAGGACACTTCTTCCCTCTGCTGTTAGGGGATTGCCACCCTTAGACCAAGACCCTGGCTTCCCCGTTACTCCTGAGTGGGAACTGATGGGCCACTCTGACATCTCAGCCTCCTAGAGTTCACAGTAAGGACAACTGTGTGTGGCCACTGCTGTTTTGGGTGTGTGGACCTCTATCATTCTTTTTTTTTAAATTTTTAACAATTTTATATATTTTTTACATCATTTTTCATTTTTGCACAATGTATGCACCTTCATCTTGGCCATACTCCCCATACAATTCCCACCCCTCCTTGTTTTGATCCTATTCCCTCCTCTTCCCCCCCCCCCACATAGTGTCTCTGGCTCATAGTTGCTTGTAGATTTTGATTTTTACTTTATTATAATTAGTCTTTTCCTGGTCCCTTATTTAGGTTTTCTAAATTCCTGCTATGAGACCATCTGGTATTTTTCTTTTTCTTTCTGGCTTATTTCGCTAAGCATGATCCCTTCCAGCTCCATCCATGTTGCTGCAAATTACATGAGTTTACCTATTTTGATTGCTGAGTAATATTCCATGGTGTATATGTACCACATCTTCTTGATCCAGTCATCTGTTTTTGGGCATTTGGGTTGTTTCCACAGCTTAGCTATTGTAAACAGTGCTGCAATAAACATAGGGGTGCAGGTGCCCTTTTGAATTAATGTTTCTGTGTCCTTTGGGTAAATACCTAGGAGTGGAATTGCTGGATCATATGGAAGCTCCATATTTACCAAGATGAGGAATCTCCACATAGCTTTCCGTAGTGGTTTGGACCTACAATCTTTACAGTCCTCAACCTGACTCCTGTACAACCTAGAAGTATTCTGGCTTGACTTGAGGCTATCTCCTTAGACCAAGGCCCCCAACTTCACAAGATTCCCTAAGAAGTGAAGTTAGCCTCATTTGGCCACAATAACCCATGGTCTCCCAAGGCTAATGGTAGTAGAAGGAAATGTATGCTGCCTCCACTGTCATGAGGTGGGCGCTCCCATTGGTCTTCAGGGTCTTTACTTTGGCTCTTGGCACAATCTGGAAATCTCCCCACTGCAAACCAGTAGCTTCTCCCTTTGATGAAGTTCCTCACCTCCATGAGATGCTCTGGGAGGAAGTATGGACTCACCATGTCACTATGCTGAGGTGACCTGGTCTCAGGTTTGAAAACAGGGTCAGCACTGTTATATGGCCCCCTTCTTTCCCAGAGGGATCCTCTCAAGGTCATTCATCATCATCATGTTGATTTCTTTTAGTAATTTGGTCTCCTTTTGCTGCTGAGTGGGGCCCCTCCCATTAGTCCAAGAACTTTTAAGTCCCTGAGACCATCCCCCTCAGGAAATGAGGGGTACCCTTCATCTGAAATGTCTGCCTGTGGCCTCCCAGGGGTGACTACAGGAGCAGAACTTTCTAGTGATATCTCTATTATGGGGTAGTTATTGCTTCACTCCTCTACAGGATTTTTACCATGACACTGCCATGGCCTGGGGGTTCCACTCTGCCTAACAGTTAGCCTATAAACCAAGGCCCTCATCTCCTTGAGACCCTCCAGGCAGAAGCCAGAGGCCCTTGAGCCTGCCTGCTCTCACCTGTGCCTCCCAGGGCTAACAGCGAGGAGGGTTTGGCCTTACCAGTTGAGGGTTGCATGGGCCTCATGACCACATGCATAATTCCACAGCCTTCCTCAGACTACTCTCTGCTGACCTGAGGCAACAGCCACATACAAAGGTCTCACTCAGGATGTGAACTGGAAGTCATGGTCCTCATAAGGCTGACAACTGTGATGTGACCTTATGGGTTCCTATTGTTCTGGCTGGGTCCCTCCATTATCCTCACTCATCTTTATCACCTTCAATTCTATGAGCAATGGTTACTTCTTCCTCTGCTGACCTGAGAGCTTTGCTCTTAGACCAAGGCTTTTATGCCCCGGAGAAGCCTCAAGAATAAGTGAAGGAATGTTCAACTTCATAGCTGTCTGAGACTCTGAGTCTGAGACCAGAGGGGACAAGGTGTTCCTGTGACCCTCCCCATAAATCTGGAGTGTTGATTTCCTCAGTCTTCCTACATGGAACCTTCTTTTGGTTCATGTCTTTCAGACTAAAGGTTTCCTGGCAAATGCCACATCTATGCAAACTCTTGAGCAACTTCCTCTCTGCAAACCTTACAGAGAATAGATGCCTGTCGCTGGAGTGACGTGAGATTTCGTGAGATTGGTGGACAGATGGTGGGTTGTCAGATAAAAAAATACATTAATCTATCCCTTCTCTTCTGATAGACTGACTTTCTACAGGGAAGAGGATGTTCAGGGTGTTTCTGAGAGCCCCCCTGATCTTTTCAAGTTATCTAACATTACAAATGTAGATGACCATACTGTCACCAAATAGCTCTTTGTTCTATTTATATCTCTCAATTATTTTGGTATTCTTATTGCTCTGGCTATGTATCCAATCTCATAGTTTGGGTACAAGGACGTTCTTTTTTTCTCGCCTAAGACACATTTTGAAGTACTGAGAAGAAAGATGAAGTAAGAGACACAGGACCTGCCTCAGGATGGCAGTAGAACAGTCTGGGCTCTACTGTCATTTAGACCAGGGGTCCAGTTCCAGCCTAGTCATTTACTAGCCCTATGGGTTTGGGCACCTAGCCAAACTCTAATTCTGAGCCTCTGGCTCTCCTTTTGAAGTTGGTTAGGCCCCATCTTGAAGGACTGGGGAGATGCATACTGTATGGAACGCTTCTGATACTGTGCTGGTCTTGCACTGAGACATTGGGGAATGGCAGTTATTACTTTGATTACCTTGACCTCAGGCATTATTACCATCTATCAAGCTGGGATTTTTATTTTTAAATCTAGGAGATGTCAAAGAATAAATTTGTAGCAAAAAAAAAAAAAACCCTCCCATCCAGCCCAAATTCTGCTGAGCAATGAAAACATACTCAAGAGAATATTCTGTGCATCCCTTCTTCACCCTGATTGTTTCTTTATGAGGTTGAGAGTATCTCACCCTTTTCCATAATGATAGTTTCCTAGAATCTATCATTGCATTGGCAGGGGCTTGTACAACATAAGCAAATCTAGGTAAGTATTTAAAATTTTTTTTTACTCTTTTATTGAAGTAATATTGCATCATAACTTAAGTTTCAGGTGTGCATCATTATAAATCAATAATTATGTATATGCTACACATACTAATCAGACACATACTATACTTCATGTGTACACATTACATAAAATTCACCACTAAAAATCCAATTCTTCACCACACAAAAGGAAAACCTAGGCTGAGTAAGGCAAACCAAGAATTAGTCAACTTTTACTTTTTTCTGTCCCTGATCCCAACTATTTTAGTGTGGAGGATATACTTCTTCCAATGACATGCAATCTTATTCTGCGTCATGACAGTGACTTAAGGATTTGCAATTTGTATTTCAATACCAAAACTCTTACTGCTAAACTTGATAATCATCAATAAAACAAATCGGTGATTAGTATCACTAACAAGCTTACATTCTGAATCTAAATAAACTTTCTATTGTAAGGAACAACTTGAAAAATTCAAAAGAACAAAGAGAACTCAACAGTTTTTCACACATATCAGGAGCACCACCTGTAGTTTTACAAGCACAAAGGAAGAATCTGCCTCACCTCCCTAGAGGTGGGAGGAGCTACTGGACTTGGCCCTGGCATGACTGGCTTTGACAGCAGCGATTGCCTTGGCCACCTCAACTGCCATGGCTTCAGCTCTGGCTTTGGATCTCTCTTCCTCGTCTCGCAAAGCCTCTTCATAATGGGGTTGGAAAGCGCTAGGGATGGTACCGTTGACCTTGGCCAAAAACTCCAAAACCTTCATTTTGCTGGTTTCAGCGTGGGCTCTTGGACCCCACAGGAACTCATAGCGTGGAGGATCACTGCCTAGTATCTGACGATATTTGAGGTACTGCTCCCGCACCAGATCTTGGGTGATGAGCTTCCTGGGCTCCCCGAAGATGAAGTGAGTCTTCCCATCATAGACTCCCAAAATATTCAGGAATTGCCAGATCTCTTCCTCGGAGGCACAGTTACCATTCAAGAAGATCACACCCAGGAGAGGCATCAGAAGCCCATTTTTAGGATTTTCCCAGCCACCACTAAGACCCATATCTTTGGGAAGATCTAGCTTGCTGACAATGTTATAGGAGTGACCACTGGGCTTGATTGGTTTCAAATCAAGGCCAAAGACCAGCTCTATGCGCTCAGTGGCTCTCCTGAGGATCTCGGGGAAGTGCTCCTTGTACCTTTTGTTGACAATTTTCATCATATCTGCCTTGGTAACGATCTCTTTCATTTTATACTTGTACAGCAGCAACCGCACCAACATTCCTGTCTTCGTACTTACAGGATCATTATGAGAGCCCCAGAGAGAAATTGAGGCCCGGGAGGTGCTTGGCTTTTCCTCATCTTGGCTCTTGGCACTTTTGCTAGATCTTGTAGCACTAGTGGTGGATCGGGTTCTCTGAGGCTTCGGGGGAGGGCCAGATACAGAGGAACCCTGGGATGTACCCCCAGAAGCAGAAGAGGAGGTGGAAGGGGACTCTTCTACTTCTGCTTCAGAGACCTGAACAGCTGTGAGATCTTGGGTCTCTCCCCGGGCCTGACGGCGTTTCTCACGGGCACGGAGCTTACTTTTATGACCGCGAGGCATGACTGATAGCTGTGGTCAGGGACAGCAGGTAAGAGTGTGACTAGTGAACAAGTGATGGTGGCACCTGAAGGAGGGAGAATGATATAATGTGAGGACCTTCAGCAGGGAGATGCCCCCTTGGCTTTAACCAAGGCTGCCCCTGGAGGTTTACCTGAGGGCACAGCTCTAGGACCCCTGACCCCTCAGGGCTCTCGCTCTTCTACCAGCCTCTCCCCTAAATATCCCATCAAGGACTCCTTTGAGTGAGTCTTACTCTGCATCCTAACCAGCCTTGCCCTGGATTTACTTAGGTGACAGCAGGCGCTGGAAGTGGGACCCCCTGTACTGTGGCATGAGGGTTCTGCTCAGTTCATTGTCTGTATTATTGCGTCAACTCTAGGCAGAGCCTGGGCACCCTCCCTCTTCTTCTCTGAGGTTGATACTTCAAAGCTCACTGGGACTCAGAAGGGACTGAACAGGTGCCCCAGTGCACCTCCCACCATGAAGCACTCAGTGCTGAGAGCTCAGTGGCATCCTCAGTCCTCATTCAGGGGCCACACTTGGCTCCACACATTTTGGCATGACTCGCCTTTTGCTGACTGGTAGCTACACCTTCAGACTAAGGGTTTCATCTGATTTCAACCTAAGTGAGAACTGATGGGCACAGCCACCTGACACCTGTCCTTGAGGCCTCCAGGGCTGATAATAGGGAGGATCCTCTGAGGCCCCCACTGATATGGGGTAGAACATGTCCACAGTTGTCAAGGTTCCAACCATGACATCTGCTAGTACTCAAAAATCCTCCCTTTGCTGACATCAGGCTGCCCCGTTCGACCTGGTCCATCACCTCCCTGAGATGTCCAGAAAAGAACTGAACGTAACTCGTTATGGCCGTATGCCCAAGGCTCTATGTGGTCCCCTCCTTTCCAGGAGGGGACCCCTATCCTCACTCAATGTCACAACCCTGCATCCTTTAAGGGGCTGGGTGCCTTTTACCGAATTGGGCTAACTCCATTAGACCAAAGCCCTCGCCGAGACCACTCTAAAGGAAGGGTAGGGGCACCGAAGTGCACCAACTGTGCACAGGAGCTCTACTGAGTTTGGGAGTTATTGGGGTGTAGCCCTGAGCTCCCTGAGTCACTAGAGGGCTGGCTAGGTCGCTCCACGACTGTTCACTTAGTGGGGTGTCTCCTAGAGCTGACCGTCTGGGCGCCGCTCAGCGTGGCCAGCAGTGCTGGGTGGGGGTCTGCTCATGAACACACACGGTATGGCCTCATCTGGATTTATGATCTCTATCTCCCCCCATGGCAAATCTGGGCTCCCGCCATAGACCCGGGCCTTCCTTGCGGTCCCCTCCCCGCCCCCACTCCACGAGCCATTTTGGGCAGAATGCAGCCTGCAGCACGGAGGCGAGGCCGCGGCTCCCAAAACCTGACCACGAAAGTGGGACTTCAAGTCACCTTTGTCAGGGAGGGCGAATATTCTCTTCGGTTCCCACTCGGGGCGCTCACCTTGCCGCCACGCCAGTCCTCGGAATCCAACCTCCTCGCGGCACAGCACACCACCGACTACATCGACGATCTCATTCTCAAAGCGGAAATCCGGGAGCCACATCCGGTCACCGCGCGAGATCACCCAGGACTGACAGCAGAGGCGGGGTTCTGTGGGACCCGGATGATGCGCAGTCTGCAGTGTCTGCATTTGCACTCGGCGTCCCCACTTTGGTATCTGCCAGAGTCCAGTATCTACTGCCCCGCCGGGGACCGCCTCCAAAGTCCTCACCACATGATCATCCCACACACGATTACTCCTCCCTGGGCCACAGAATCCTGACGTTCAAGTGCGCTGGCAGCCCCGCTTTCTGGAAACAGTCCCTTTGTCAGCATTCGGGGTCCATAACTTTAGTTAAAGCCAAGCCTCCTCCCTCTGCAGAACGGTGGCTGACTCTTCAGACCAAGGGCCTTTCTCCCCTGAGATCACTCTTTTGGCGTCTCCCACAGCGAAACATAGGGTGGGACTCCTACACCTCCTTAGCGGGGGTCCTCTCAGAACACGCGGGATCCTTGTCAAGGCCTGGGTCTTCTCTTTTTGCAGAATTGGAACTGTCCTTCCTTGTCCAAAATTCTCTTCTCCATGCAACACTCCAGAGAGATTGAGGCGGGTTCCTGTTCCTTAAAACTCTGTCCGGGGCATTCCAGCTGCTGACAGCATTGGAAGAATTTTTGGGGTTCCTCTGTTCCGGGATGGATGGTTTCCTCCTTTTTATTTCAAATCTTCACTTTGACACTTGACGTGTCTTGGGACTCTACTCTCTAGTGACCTGAGGCTGCTCCCACCAAATTAAGGTACTCGACTTCTAGACACCTACAAAGTGGAGCTGAGGATGAGTCATATCCTAAATGCTGCTTAACAACGAAAACGCGCGATAGATGGTTCAATGTGGGTGTGAGTTACACGTCTCCAATTTGACGCAACAAAGTTCCTAAAATTTCCCAAGGATCAGCAACTTCCCTGCCTTCCAGTGGCCCTTCCACCTGAATCAGGTGCCTGATCATTGAAAGACAGTCTCGGGGTCATGTGTTTTTTTTTTTTTTAAGATTTATTTATGCATACAAGCACTGGGGTACAGGCCAGGGGTGTGGGAGGGTGAGACGATTCACCAGAGCCAGAGCGGGGAGCAGAGCAGGCAGAAGGACCGAAGTACACTGCTGAGGGGAGCAGCGGGCGAAGACAGGAGAGGTCTGTCGAGCCATGTGGGAAATCTCCTTGGCCGGCTGGGAATCGAACCGGCACTGCAGAGGCTGTGGACAGCTTCACAGCGCTGCACTCAACCCGCCGCGCCACCGGGGAGGCCCCCTGAGGGTAATGTTAAAAATGGGTCACCCTTGGGCCTCCCTGGTGGCATAGGGTTTAACACGCTATTACAGGTTTGGCAGGAGTTCGATCCCTGGCCAGGGAATTAACCCCACAATTGGCTCAACAGACCTCTCCTGTCTTGTTCACCTTTAGCAGTGTATTTCAGTAGATCTGCCTGTTCTGCTCCCCACTCTGTCTCTGGTGAATCCTCTACCCACCCACCCCCCCACACACCCCTCTGGCCTACACCCCAGTTCTTCTATGCATAAATAAATAAATCTTTAAAAAATATGGATCACCTGGGCCTCCCCGGTGGCGCAGCGGTTGAGCGCTGGGTTGTGAAGCTGCCCGCGGCCTCTGCGGCGCCGGTTCGATCCCCGGCTGCTCCCCGGCCACCGGAGGACGGTCCCACATGGCGCACAGACCTCTCCTGCCGCCCGCTGCTCCCCTCAGCAGTGTACTTCGGTCCTTCTGCCTGCTCTGCTCCCTGCTCTGGCTCTGGTGAATTCTCTCACCCTCCCGCGCTTCTGACTGTACCCAGTGCTTGTATAAACAAACAAACAAATAAATAAATAAAACATGCCTCTATAAAACAAACAAACAAAAAAATATGGATCACCCTAAGTTTTCCATTTTTTCTCAGCCTTCAAACCTCCAAAAGGGAAAATATACTAGAACTAGCCCAGCTGTAGGGGACCTAATAAAAAAAAGTAGCGAGTATGGGGCAGGCATTCAGCCTCGGTCGAGAATGGGCATGTTTGGAGAACACGGAAAAAGTCCATTTTAGGAACTGGTTTTACTTAGTGGGGATGTGGTAAGGTGGAAGCTATACCAGTGCCCAGTCACCCAAATGATACAGGGTATGGCATTCTTCAAAAGAGCAGATTCTGGGCTCCTCTCGATAAGGGGATGGAAGTTATTGATATCCTTTCTGCTTTTATTGTAATGATTAATTCAGAAATTAGAGCAGGACATGTTCTTGCAGAGGATGCACATGGATCAGTCTCGGAAAGGCAAACACAGGAAATGGAGACGGATTCAGAGCAATGACCCGGAGGCACCTGTAGAAGTCTAGAAGGGAACAGCTGAAAACACCCATCCATTTTCCTCCCTACTATTCAAAGACATTAAAAAATTTCAACAATTTCCTAGGCAGAGCTCTAACACAGGCCCATTTTGTGATTTCGATTAAGGTATACAGGTAACTAGAATGTGTTGAGCTGATCAAGTTACTTTTCTTAAATGTTGTATTTCAAAGCATTTTAAAAAAAAAAACAGAGAAATGTGATGGTGGCTCAAGATAGCCAACATTTGAAAAAACAGCATATGAGCAACATATTTAGAGCTATATTTATTGCATCTCCTGGGTAATTTTAGTATTCATTAGTGTCTTCATCTCCCAGTGGAAAAAACCTCATGAATGTCATTAATATATTGTTTTAGTCATGTTCTAGCTAATTAATAAAGATATTAAATATGACCATTTCTGAAACATGTGCCTCTGGCATATATTTTAGCAATGCCTCTTCGTTGGGATTTACTATTTAACATTTCCCTCCATTATATTTGGATATGTGTATGGTTTTTAAATGTTTTAAAATTATTCATCAGGGAAATGGAACAGGGCTTTGTGACTTTACTAAAAATCTTTTCAGTTGAAAATATATCCATAAAGTAGCCATTGATATTGGGAGACAATTTCTAGTTTTTTAACTATGTGCTACCACATTCTATATTACAGAACAGAATACCTAGAAAAAAATCAAAACATCTCAATCAATGTTTAAGTGGATTATCAGTTGTTCCAAGTGTCGGTTTTGTTTTAGAGAATCATTCTTGTGTTTCTTCTAATTGGTTTCTCCATTTCATAAAAAAATCCTATTCGAAATTATTAACATTTATTGTTTAAAATGATCATTGAATAGAGGGATGAAAAGCACAAAGAAAAACAATAATAACAATATAATCTCCACTGCTCAGACACATCTGCTGTTGTCAAACTAGTTTTTAAATTTGTTATTAGGCAATTTTGGAAGACTGAAATAAAAATGTCAAGTTGGCATACACAAACTACCTAGTGAACAATGACAAATCCTACCACCTAGTTAGTTCTTTTCAGTCTGCAGATGGGTTAAGAGACTTAGCCCCAAGAAAAGAACGCTGTGCTTTAAATTATTCCTCCCTACTTTCTCCATCCAATGACTATACACTGTTTTGATTACTGCAGGGCTTTGCTTAAGCTGTTGACAATGATTTTTCTCTTTAAAAAGAATCCTAGGGAGAAAATAGCTTAAACATTGCTTGGGATATTCAGAGAGTGAGAATAAAGGAAAACAAAATCCACCATCAGGATTTGAACTTCAGGCTTTGTCAGTGATTGACAGATAACACCTAATGTAGAATGTAATTTCTGTCTAAACACACAATGACCAAGTGTCCTACATATGTTATATATTTATTTGATGAGTTGATTTTGAAGTGACATCTGTGACTGAAAGCTAGGTGTCTCGATCAAGTGGTTGGGACCCTGAAAAGTGGGGCCTTCAGTTGTGGATTATCTCCAATGTATATCTCATTCCAAAGTGGAAGAACTAAGACTTCCCTGATTCGCAGCTCCTAACAGAAAAGGAAGACATAGGTGAGCTCTTTAGGGAGCAAAATAGAGTCCACACTAAGAGTAACCCAAACAATCTTTGTTTAATGGAAAAAACCCTAAATATTAAAAATCCAGAACAATATCAATCAATAAAAGATAAAGCTGACATCACAATATTCATTAATAGATATAGTTTGGGCCTCCCTGTTGGTGCAGGGGTTAAAGTCTCAGCACTACCAAGTTATTGCCAGTCACTGAAGCATCAGTTCCTTCCTGGCCAGAGAGCTAACCCACATGGGGCAGCAGACCTCTCCTGACTCACCCACTGCTCCCCTCATCAGTGTATTTCAGTCAATCTGCCTGTTCTGTTGCTCACTCTGTCTCTGGTGAATCCTCTCACCCCCACACCTCTGGCCTGTACCCCAGCTCTTATATGCATAAATTAATTTTAAAAAATCTTTACAAATATATATTTGAAATTAAAGGAGCTATTTTATGATGTAACTGAAGATGTGTGTTAGAATCCACTCACACATCTGGTGTAGATAATCATTCAGCAGCAGCGAGCCACACATACAGAGGAAACATGAATTTGTGTGGGAGAGAGTAGGAAAAGAAGTGGGCAAAAGGGCAGGGTGCTGGGGAAGTGGTAAGTTCTTTCCAGTCTCTCAGCATTAGCTCAGGAAAAGCAGCAGACAACAGAACTGGATGATTCTTAAAAGGCAAGGAGTTCTCTGATTATTTATATTCCACAGATAAGTAAAACCATCTGCTGTCTTTTGTTTTCTGACTTATTGCATTTAGCATAATCACCTCAAAGCTCATCCATTTTGTCCCAAAAGGCACTAATTCATCTTTCTGAGTAGTAGTCCATTGAGAATATATTTCGCAATTTCCTTAATCACTTGTTTCTTGATGGGCATTTTGGTTGGTTCTACGACTTGGCAATCCAACAAAAACAAATCTTAGACTTCGCGAAAAATTTACTTATCAGAGGGAACCAGGGGAGGGAGGGAGGCACAGGGAAGGAAGGGAGATGCCAATGACACTGGAGGTTTGGCTAGAGTGAGTAAAGCATGTGTCCCTACAGAGGAGTTAAAATGCAACCCTAAGGTTGTATAGTCATGTGAACAACTGACAGATTTAGTTTTAAAAAATGTACTGGGTTGTCTGTCCCCCTGATTAGCAAATTTACCTGGGGCATGTATTGAGAATGCAGATTTCAGGCCCACTACAACTCTGAATGCAAAGGAACCTTGTGATCTAGATTTTAAGAAGGAAATGATTCTTAGAAGAAACCAAATTTGGAGTCACTCATGTCTTAACGCTTGGAATTTCTTTCAAAATTTTTGTGATCATTTTCATTCATTCACTAATGAATTTTTTTAGCTGGTTGTGGACATTTATTAAATGACAGGCCTGAAACTGTCTAGATTGTGTCAGGATGAATGAAATAAGAATGACTTAGAATGTTATTGGAAACCTTGTGAAGGTACTATTGGTGTTTAGGATTTTTTTGGTAGCTAAAAATAAAAACAGGTTTTATATTACATTTAGTTTTTCCCACTCCTTCCTAAAACTTCTCCTTATCTTTATTAGCCTCTTTTTACTTCTATATTTATAATTAATTTTATAACCTTACACTTAATGGCTAAAAATAGCCTTAACAGTGGAAAGTAATGTTAGGGATTATGTGTATAGGTTACTATTCAGTTGTTATTTAATTGTCTAATACTTATTTTTTTCTCCTTAAAATGAATTTTCAAGAGGAGGAACACATTTTATTTCTTTAATATGCAGAATGTTCAAAGGTAGTGTTTTTTCCTCAATTTTGTATTTGATATAGGCCTATTAAGATTTCTATTTATCCTTGCATGAATTTTGGAAGATACTGTCTTTCAAAGAATTTATG